GGCATCCTTAGAAGAGGCTTCGCGGTGGGGTTAAAATTGAATCAGAGATAGTAGGAACTGCAGATGCTGGAGAATCCGAGACAACAAGGTGCAGGGCTGGATGAACACAGCAGGCCAAGCAGCATCATAGGAGCAGAGAGGCTGACGTTTCAGGCCTAGACCCTTCTGCAGTTCCTACTATCTCTGATTCAATTTTAACCCCACTGCGAAGCCTCTTCTAAGGATGCCTAACCTGAAGAAGTTACCCTCCTCCCTCCGGACAAACCTCAAGGGATCTCTCTCCCACTGATCCCTCTTCTATCCGCCTCCCACTCTCTCCCTATTTATTTCAAAACCCCCTTCCCCTCCCCCTTTTCTGATGAAGGGTCTAGGCCCGAAACGTCAGCCTCTCTGCTCCTATGATGCTGCTTGGCCTGCTGTGTTCATCCAGCCCTGCACCTTGTTGTCTTACATTTTTAAATAGACAGGTAAGAGTTATAAACTGAGAAGTGACCTTTAGCTAATAAATCAGAAACACATAGAATAATGATTTTATGGCTGTGACAAGGAATAACATTTAGTACATGAAAGTGAATGACATGGAATGCACACCTCCTCCAGAAATAAGAATCATCAAGATTCTTGAGATCACAGTGCATTGAGTATAGGAGTTGGGAGGTCATGTTAAGAACATAAGAACATAAGAACTAGGAGCAGAGTAGGCCATCTGGCCCCTCGAGCCTGCCCCGCCATTTAATAAGATCATGGCTGATCTTTTTGAGACTCAGCTCCACTTACCCGCCCGCTCACTGTAACCCTTAATTCCTTTACTGTTCAAAAATTTATCTAGCCTTGCCTTAAAAACGTTCAGCAAGGTAGCTTCAACCGCTTCACTGGGCAGGGAATTCCACAGATTCACAACCCTTTGGGTGAAGAAGTTCCTCCTGACCTCATCTGCTTCCCTTTATTTTGAGGCGATGTCGCCTAGTCCTAGTTTCACCTGCTAGTGGAAACAACCTCACTGCCTCCACCTTATCTATTCTCTTCATAATCTTATAAGTTTCTATAAGATCTCCCCTCATTCTTCTGAATTCCAATGAGTATAATTCCAGACTACTCAGTCTCTCCTCATAATCCAAGTCTCTCCTCATAATCCAACCCTCTCAACTCTGGAATCAACCGAGTGAATCTCCTCTGCACCCCCTCCAGTGCTAGTATATCTCTTCTCAAGTAAGGAGACCAAAACTGCACACAGTACTCCAGGTGTGGCCTCACCAGGACCCTATACAGCTGCAGCATAGCCTCCTTGTTTTTAAACTCCATCCCTCTAGCAATGACAGACAAAATTCCATTTGCCTTTTTAATTACCTGCTGAACCTGCAATCCTACTTTCAGCGATTCATGCACAAGGACACCCAAGTCCCTCTGCACAGCAGCGTGCTGCAATTTTTTACCATTTAAAACAGTCCATTTTGCTGTTATTCCTACCAAATGGATGACCTCACACTTATCAACATTGTACTCCATCTGCCAGACCTTTGCCGACTCACTTAGACTATCTATATCCCTCTGCAGACTTTCAGTGTCTTCTGCACACTTTGCTGTACCACTCGTCTTAGTGTCATCTGCAAATTTTGACACATCACACTTAGTCCCCAACTCCAAATCATGTATGTAAATTGTAAACAATTTAGGTCCCAACACTGATCCCTGAGGCACCCCACTAGCCACTGACCGCCAACCAGAAAAACACCCATTTAACCCTACTCTTTGTTTTCTACTAGTCAACCAATCCTCTGTCCATGCCAATACATTACCTGTAATACCGTGCAACTTTATCTTATGTAGCAGCCTTTGGTGTGGCACCTTGTCAAATGCCTTCTGGAAATCCAGATACACCACATCCGCAGGTTCCCCATTGTCCACCATGCAAGTAATGTCCTCAAAGAATTCCACCAAATTAGTTAAACATGACCTACCCTTCATGAACCCATCCTGAGTGTTCCCAGTGGGACAATTTATATCCAGATGTCTTGCTATTTCTTCCTTAATGATAGATTCAAGCATTTTCCCAACGACCGAAGTTAAGCTAACTGGCCTATAGTTACCTACTTTTTGTCTACTTCCTTTTTTAAATAGTGGCGTCACATTGGCTGTTTTCCAATCTGCAGGAACCACCCCAGAGTCCAGTGAATTTTGGTAAATAATTACTAGTGCATTTGCTATTTCCCCCATCACCTCTTTTAGTACCCTGGGATGTATTTCATCAGGGCCAGGAGACTTGTCTACGTTTAGCCCCATTAGCTTGCCCAGCACTGCCTCCTTAGTGATAATGATAGTTTCTAGGTCCTCACCTGCTATAACCTTCTTGCCATCAGTTTTTGGCATGTTATTTGTGTCTTCCACTGTGAAGACCGACACAAAATAACTGTTTAATGCCTCGGCTATTTCCTCATTCCCAGTTATTAAATTGGCCTTCTCATCCTCTAAAGGACTGTGTGGCTGTACAGGACAGTGGTTGACCACTTTTGGAATATTGTGTTGAATTCTGGTCTCCTTGCTATAGGAAAGATGTTGTGAAACTTGAAAGGATTTACAATGATATTGCTGGGGTTGGAGAGTTTGAGCTATAGAGAGAGGCTGAAAAGGCTGGAGCTATTTACCGTGGAGCATCAGAGGCTGAGGGGACACGTGGAAGAAACACATGCAGACACAGGGACAGTGTGCAAACTCTACACAGACACCATCTGAGGCTGGAATCAAACTCAGGTCCCTGGTGTTGTGAAGCAGCAGTGCTAACCATTGAACCACTGTGCCACTCTTATGAGAAGATGGGATTCTCCATAGTAAGTGGTGAGGGGCCTATTTACATATATTAACATGCATTAACATCTCATTATTACCTAATCTTGCCTCAATAAGAGCAGCTTCCCATCCTCCCACCCACTGGTTGAAAACTGGATGGTGAGTAATACCAGCATGCAGGCCAGCGTGGTTACTTGGTGACTCCAGTTCACTAATTGCTTCACCAGTGTCCATATTGGACACCAGTACGAACATCTCAGAGCATGCTGCATGGGCAGTGACCACACACATGCCTGTCCATGGACCTTGTCATCTGAGATGCTTCATTAGGGCACATCTCTGATCAACTTACAGTACAGTCCTGCACTTCAGTTCTGCACCTTGGAGTGCACTAGCACCTTTCATTGTAATGCTGCTATAAGGAGTTTTTACACACAAAGACAAGGTACCCATCTGATGGATTGGACCAGGCTGCATCTTCGAGCTGTTTGCTTTTCTCTAAGTGTTCACTCACCTTCTGCTTACATCCCTGCCTTTTGGCGCCTAGCCCCGACAGCATATCAACCAAATGGCCATGTATCAGAATTTAAGGGGAAAAATCTTCAGTAAAGTCAAGAGGGGCTGCCTTAGCCAGAGGGTCCTGGTAAAAGGGCATAGTTCAAGGGCATCATCCAATCTCAGTACAGGGGCTTGAACGGGCCAGGGAACCATGGGAGTGGGCCATGGTCAGTCCAGCATGTCCAGTGCAAATAGTCAGGGGATTAGTTGTGAGTCAGTTGGGGAGCTGCACAGAGATCAGATAGAGATCAGTTGTCAGTCAAGGCTGTCCATTCAAGCTGATTAGAGGGGTGGCCCACAGTCAACTCTGGGGGTCATCTGAATGAAGGTCAGAGGGGGTGGGTGTTTGTCAAGGGACTACTGCATTAAGAACATGCAGACACTGCTTGTGAGTAATGTGAGGCCATT